TCTATGATTTTGTAAGTTCAATATTCAACCAAGGAAAAAAGTAATATGTGGAGAAAGCAAAATTCAAGCACCTGTGACAATATAGTTCCTGTAAAAGGTGCATACGAAGTGAGGGTTTGCATGCCCAGTGTATGATCGAATACTAGCCGCACCACTGTGTCAGGGTCAAGGAAATCCCAAAGACCATCCGTAGCAAGTACCATAAAATGATCATTAGGAGTCAATTTATGGTACAAAACCTATAATACAGTTGTTGAAGTTGAGACTTCAAATCTTATTTTCAATAATCCATTAAAAAAAAAATAATAATATAATGCTATATATTCTTCTGCAAGACCTGTTAACACTACAACTGTTATGCATTAACATTAATTTATGCGCTTACTTCTGGTAAAGAGCTAAGGTAGGGCGGTGAGTCCATTCCATAAGGCAGGGAATGACTCTTGGCACCAAGTATATCCTTTTGTAGCTCAGCTGACCATTTGTATCTAACATCACCAAATGCCCTGAAAGGAAATAATTCACCAAAAAGCCGACCGCCGACTATCAAATTGTTCGTTTCGCTATGTGGGTGAGCGTCTCTAATTCGCTGTACCTAAAAATGGATCGCCCTGTGAGTGAGTAAATGAAATTTGAACTAAATTGATTCCATTTAAAAATAAGTTACAACTCCCTATTTAGCACTGGTTATTTAATGTTTAAAAATAAATTACGACTTACTATTCAGTACAAGTATATTTAATGCAAAGACCGTGATCAAATTACTTGACTAGAACAACTTACAAGTCGAACTTCCATTTCTAAGCCTTTAGCGTACTGTGATCACCATTTCATTAGCATGAAAATTTTTGCCTTCCTTTAGAAATTCCAGTTAAAACTTTTTTTGGAAACAAAAGCGAAACAGATCTACCTCATCAGCATTATCAACACAATGTGGCTTCGAAAGAGGCATAGCTGAGATAACACCTTGGCTATATAATCCTAGCACTGCCGCACTGTCACCAACATTTGCCACATGCAAATTTACACCACGAATGTGAGCTACAACTGCACAGGAGCCTGCCATCACCATTCCAGTATACTGCCTTCAATAAATCTCTTCGAAGATTTTCCAAAATTAAGTTGGAAATTTCTTATCCAATATTGAAATTTAGCTCTACTTCATGAATTACAAAATATTTCTACTTTTTTCTCTATTTCATAAAAAATACATCATTAAGCATCATTTCCAGAAAAAATTTAGCCTTAAATACACATTATCACTACTACCTTTTTTTTCTGCCCTACTATTGATCACTTCATGATCTATGCATTTATGGAGAAGCCTAATTAAAACGAGTGAAGGATCGAAATGGAAAGCTTAAAATTTAACTCACTTTGACAATTCACTGTGCCTTTCGTCCAGTGCATTAGTAGACAAATCACTGTCACATGCACAAAACGAGAGTTCTAGTGCCTTCCTCACTGTTGTCATCGTCGAGTCGCTCACTGCTTCATTGTAAAAATTTTCGATGTTTTTCAAATGGTTTTCTCTAAAACATGAATGTATTTTTCAGCATTTAGTATTTGAATTATAGTACATTTTCATTATAGTATTATAGTAGAAGTATTTTTTTTAGATTTCTAGACTCTGAAAATCATACGAAAACCGATTTCAAAGTAATCGATTTCAAAGCAAGAAAAGAAAAAAAGAACTGCGCAAATTTTTAAAAAGGAACAGGAAAACGAAGTTTCATACCTATACATTTCATCTAGTAAGTCACCATTCGTAAAAAACCAGTGTAATCTGTCTCTGATGGGTAAATCAGTGACAATATGTTGTTTCAATATAGAAGCAGATATGTAATCAAATAACCGTGTTGAAATATAACGGCTGCAAGAATTACCACCATGTCCATCAAATACACCTAAAAAAGCACTGCGATGATACAAATCCTAAATTTACCAATGGAACTAATTCAAGAGTTTTTATTTATAAACTATAATTCGCAAAGCTAATTTCTGATGGTTAGACGAAAACTATAAAAATCTCTACTTTTTCGGGAAAAATCTTTCACTTCGCTCAATTCCTTACTTAACTGAAACCAGTAATAGACATGTCTTTTCGAGCTTAACTTTATTTCTTTTATATCAAAAGAATTAGAAAAGAAAAATAGTCAACCAAAAAGGAAGGCCTCGGATGAAAGACATTTTGCAGCTGCATAATAATCTTCTGTAGGATGATTAGCAGGTAAATGTGCGATGTCGATTCGAGCGACTGCTCCATCTGCAACGGTACAGGATTGTTCGCTAGACCGAAGCTGTGCATCAGTATAAGCTCGTGACGCTCGCAAATGACGGCGTACTTCTCGCCATACGTTGCTTTGAACTTTTTGAATCATTTCACCAATAACATGAATTCATTTTCACCTGACATTTAAAGAAAAAAAAAATGTATTTCGTTTATATTTTTGAAACTTGACAAAGTATCAATCACGGAAAACCCGAAAACTACGAAAATTTTCGACCGAAGCATGCTTCGATGCATTTTTTTTCCTTTGAAGTTTGACATGTCGACATTTATATCACTTATCAAATGTTTTAAATGACAAAGTTGTAAAATAATAAAAGAGAAAGATTTGTGCAGACCATTTTCAAAATTAAATATAGACTGTAAAAAAGACTTAAGATATTATTGAAGATAGGATTTCGCACATAGCAACACGTAACTCTTCTCCTTCTGATTTCCAAAGCAGGACATAGATGGATTAAAGATATTTTACATTTACACTTAACAAAAGTTTCCTTTTCCTCTAATACACTTTCATTTTCAAAATCAGATTCACTATAACACAGCAAAAAATCAAATTCATAAAAACATATACATTAGAGAAATAGCGAGAGAGAGAGTGGAAAAAAAAAACAGTTCTCGTGATATAATGCATTCATTAATATTTTCCATGAACACACAATTAAATACTATTAATTTTGCATAAAAAGAGAAAAGAGATTGTTCGCTCTTCAAGAAATAAAAATAAGTATAAAAATCAAAAATTATTTCAAACAATCTCACAAAAAGCACATAGTTGCGCTTTCTGTTTCCTTTTTTCCTAACAATCAATCATTTATTTTGTTATACAAAGAAGGAAAGGAAACAGTTCTTTATTTATTAAAATGAAATAATTATAAAGCAGATTTGTTGAAAATCTAAAGTTTTACTATTACTTTTCATACCAAAATGTCACCGTTAGTATACCGTTACGTGGTATCACAAGCTGTATTGACAAAATATGCAGTTATAATAAAATTTTACAACTGTCAACGAATTACCACTGCAGTAAAATCATTGCAAGCAGAAACAAAACATGTTATCTTGAATTACAGAAAAACCAAGAGAGTAGAAAGAAAAAGTTATGAAGATAACTTAGCTAAACCATATCATACCACAAGTTTAATATCTAAAACCAGAAAACTATTTTAATGTAATCGATGGAATAATAGATAGAACGGTGATCAATATTTAATATTTCGGAAAAAATTTTAATTTTTTCTTCTTTTAAATTAATTCGAAGAAAAGGTTAGCAAAAGAAACATTCATCTTAATTTTAGCAACCTTCAAAAAAACTTTTGAACTTTAACAAAATAATCAGTGATAGCTGAACTGATAAAAAATCATCAGGTCGAAGATCAAGCAATGGAAATTAAATTTCACACGTGAGCATTAACACGGTCCGTGAAATTAAAAGATGGTTCATAGTAACGGCAGATATGACGTTTGATATCGTTAATGTCTTTCATACACGATTACTTGTGTAAGTATTGACGAGTTGGGTTAATGCGTGTAAGCGTTAGCTTACGTGGATACGTTCCACATAACGCTTGCTCATGCTATCCTTCCTTCTGTAGAGAAGTTACGATTGTATTATGAAGTTAACATTCATACATCTTTATTCACTCATTGTATCACAAATTCTGTATAGAAGAACAAATTAAAATGGGTTTAAGTTAATTTGCTTCATTAATTGTTTTGTTACGACAAATTTAAAGTGTTGGCAAGAGTCGGAACGATGAGTTCTTTGTGGATTACGGTTTCAATGATTATTTTGTTATATCTTTAACTTTTATTAACTTTCTTTATATATGCATGACATTTTGAATTTTATTCTCACTATCAATATGTATATTACATCACCCGAAAATACCAGTTGTTCGGAAAGAAGTTTCTGAATGAACTCAGGTATCTTTGTCCATAATTCCAAATAGTTCACTTTCTACTGTTCAGTTTTTCAGTATCTACCTCTTAACTGACAGTTGTATTTTAGGCGAGGATCTTTTTCTCAAACTCATTCAGCAAGAACTTTTTTGTGTAGGGAAAAAGCTACTGGTTTAAAAAATGCCATTATTTATAGCTTTTAATTAAACTTCATTACAGCTGCTGCTATTTTTGTTTGCATACATATGCCTTCCTTTCTTGTATATGGAAGTACGGATGAGAATTAATTGATTTGAAGTCGAAATATAATGTGCACTGCTTTTGATTATTCTAACTATAAACTTCAGTCTGAGCTTTCGGAAAACTGAAGTAACTTCATTTCATAACTTTTCGAAATTGAAAATTCAGATTAATTACCCAAATTTTATGCAAGTTTTATGGCGACTCTTGATTTGCTTCCAAATTTGGAATAAAAATTTGGGTTTGCAGACTTTGGGAACAATAGGAACTCTTTGGCTGTTCTCCGATTCACTAAACCAAATTTATAAAGTAACAAGATAAAATTTGCATATTCCCATAAGTTATAGACAAAATTTTTATGTTTTTTATTTCTGTTTAGTATTTTTTCATTTTGCAATGCTTACACATTTGTCAATGCTGTATGAATTCCTTGCCCCGAACGATTTCAGGTGCTCCTGTAATTCTTCATCTTCATTTTATGTTTTTTATATCTGTATAAGAAACTGATTTTATCAAATATTTCACTTAAATTAATAGGAAAAAATTGTCATTGCAGAAGACGTTCAGGATGGAAGGTCCACTATCAAAGTGGACGAACGTCGTTCATGGATGGCAATACAGATGGTTCATTTTGAGGGACGATGCGCTTCATTATTACACTTCTAGGGAGAAAATGATGAAAGGGCAACAACGTGGTTGCATACGTCTTCGTGGTGCTGTTATCGGTATCGATGGTGAAAATAATTCCTTGTTTACGGTCACTGTTGACGGCATAACATTTCATTTACAGGTTAGATATGATAGTGAAAAAAATTAATTAGCCTAAATATCTTTAGTATAACATTACAAAGTATATGCGTATATTTATTACGTTGATGTAAGATAAATGGCAAACATTGTATTATTACGATTAAGAAGAACAAATAGTTGTCTCCGAATTGCGTAAGATGATTAGCGGTCTTTTTCTTGTAAAAGTTGACCGACAAAAGTATGTTCCATCAAGTTGAATTATATTCATATAGCTTAATTATTTGACATATAATCGTTACTGTTATAATTAGCACAGTTATATGTAATAACAATAAACAATAAATACCAGCATTTTTGTGCTTATTTGTTTAAACTAAATTAATTATGAAATTATTAATTACCTGATATGTACACACAAACATACATACATACGTGTAGAGTAGGCATACACAGATACAGTAACGTATGAATAGATACAGTAGGTAGTGACAAATGTTGACACTTTGATACAGTAGAATCTTAAGTTATCGAAGAATTTTGCGCAAAAATTCATCAGCAAAATTAATAAAGCTTTCAATTAATCATGGTTTTAATTCAATTTAAGAATTAAAATTAAATTTTATTTCAAATTTAAATTTTGAATTTTTTAAAAATTTTAAAATTTTAACAGTTTTCTTACATTAAACAAGGAAATTGGTTCTAAATTATCAATTTTAATTTTAATTAAGTGCCAAAACTACTAAAAATAGCAGTATTTTAAACTTAATTGATTATGTATGCATTGCAGGAGAACGGGTCATATATGGTGTGGTCATTTTATAGTTTAAATATTGAAAAACGCTTTTGTAATTAAGTCATCTTTAGGATTAAAAATCGACTGACAAATTTTTTTTAAAAAATTCAAAATTTAAATTTGAAAGAAAATTTGATTTTAATTCTTAAATTCAATTAAAACCATGATTAATTGAAAGTTTTATTAATTTTGCTGATGAATTTTTGCGCAAAACTCAATTACAAAAGCGTATTTTAATATTTAAACTGTAAAATGACCAACCATAGTTATATACAATAAGGAATGTAAATTCAGAATTGTGAAATATTGGTATAAAACTATATTATTTCTCTAAAACTTCTCACAATTAGAATGGACTTTATCATTTAAAATGGCATCATTTTATTACTGTTAATTAAATTATTGGAAAGATCGATTTTCCAGTATTACAGTCTAGAATGCTTGGAAATACAGTTCGGTAAATCAATAAAAAATCTACTTGTTTTAGGGTCGAGATGAAAGTGAACGCAACAGCTGGATTCGTGCTTTGGAGGCCGTTATCCATGAACAGAGTGGTTATTATCGTGTAACTTCGTTAAATTCACCAGCGGTTTTAAAAGCAAAAGCTATTGAAGCAGACAAACATTTGCAAGATATGATCAATGAGGTATCGCCATGTTCTTTGGAAATTGATTCAAGTAACAAACAATGTTTGTCCATTTGTGGTGAGTGCTAGATTTTAAGAATGTAGCATAGTGCATAGTAAAAGTTATATGGCTAATAATGTTTTATTCTATCGATTTATTTCTTATTCAAACTCTATTTGACTTGCAATTTTGGTAGGAATAATCTCATTTAGGTGTAAATAAAAACGTTGATCAGATTAACTACTATAGGTCCGAGAATTGGAAGGATTGTCTACTTCAGCAAATACTGAAATGAAGAAAACGGTTGATGATTTGGTTAAATCAGCGAATCGTTTGTTGGATACGGTGAAGCATGCAGTAATATTGCTACAAATGGCTAGGAGTCATTTAGAGGGTGCTTCAATATTGGGTTTAGATGTGAATGGTGAAGGATCCGAGAGTTCTGAGGTTTATATTTTACTTTCGAGGTGAAATAATTTGTTCTTTAGCCAACATGGCTTTATCGAATGCGGTCGTATTAGAGTTCGATTTATTATTCTCTCCATACCTTGTGCTATCAGTCCAGTTGGACACATTAATTGAATTTTAGTGGGTTTCTGTTTGCATTTGAATCAAAGTGTGGATAAAATGTAGTAAGATAGTAATGTAACAAATTACTTTACAGATTCGAAAATTATTCGGGAGCCGAATTTAGTAGCCATCTAATTACCTTGTTACAATTAAAATAAATGAACGAAATAGAAAATAGAATTTGAACTTTGGAGATAATATTTCACTCAGTGTTGTTTTTGAGCTATTCCGAAGTCTTTTATTCGAAGGAATATTGCTATAGAATTATTGTTGCTACCAGTTTTCAGGCGAAAGTTATAGTTCCTCCATTGTCATATTCAAGTAGTGAAGATGAATTTTTCGATGCTGAAACTCCAAGCGATGGTGATAAATTTTCACCAAGTGATGATAATTCAAATGACATCGACAATTCTGGAAATGGCAACAATCCTGGACATAGCAGTAATCGTAATCCTGGCAGAAAAATTTCTCAGACACGAAAGAAGTCCATCCAAGAACCGGATTTTGCGGATGCGAATGCGGATTTTGACGCTGCTTACGAAAATGCAGAGGAATTCGATGTTGGTAATGTACAACAACAGCATGGGTCTGTGCTTATGCATCTTCTTTCACAGGTACTTTTCGATTTTGAATACTAATTATGGATCGAACAAGTAAAACTACCCTTACCATTTGAAATTTTGATTTCACCTGCATTTTATAATCGGTATTTTTTTTCAATTTCTATAGAACCTATTCAGAAACAGTCGAGATTTATGAGATAAATGAGGCACTCTCTCACTTTCAGTCGAGCTTATCTTCATACCATCAGTTTATTTTTTTGTAGCATCGCTTTATTCCTTCGCTTTTTGTAGATAACAGTTCTACAAAATCAGCATATTGCCGGTATAAACTAATGTGGGGTGAGGAATAAGCCTGATACTCAATTAGTAAGATACTCTGTTGTCTTTTTTAAATTCGACAAAGTTTAGGATGTCCAGTAAGCATTTTCTACACCACTACTTTATGATGATTTACCAGCACACTTCATGGGTAGAATTGCTACGTGTATCATCACGTTTTGAAGTGAACGTTTTAATGCAAATAGTTTATCATTCCTTATCGTAATATTAGAGTAGCTTTTTGAAATCAGTAACCTAAATATCCAGGTAAGTGTTGGAATGGATTTAACCAAAGTGACACTGCCAACATTTATTCTCGAACGTCGCTCACTTCTGGAAATGTATGCTGATTTCTTTGCACACCCAGACAGTTTCGTCGGTTGTGCTGATGCATCATCGCCGGAAGAACGCTTCGTCTCTGTGGTCCGTTACTACATGGGAGCTTTTTATGCTGCTCGTAAAAGTGGTGTAGCTAAAAAGCCATATAATCCTATTCTTGGAGAAACCTTTCGATGTTAGTAGTTTTATTTTATTATTTTAAGTGCGAAGTTTTATAACTGCCCCGAATTCAGAAATTTAGTTTTGTTTTCCTTTTGAAAATTCTCTTTTTACTGGATCAGAAATTATTTTGCTAATAACTGTTTTACTCAATAGAAGGGAACCGGCTTCATTTTTTGTAGGTCGATGGAAAATACCTGGCATGAAAAGAACTAAACAGCTCACCAAACGTGGTCCTTTTCCTGGTTCAGACAGAAATGACTTAACGTTTATTGCGGAACAGGTCAGCCATCACCCACCTGTCTCAGCTTTTTACGCCGAACATCCTGCTAAACGGGTTTCATTTACAGGACATATTTGGACGAAGTCTTCGTTCTTGGGCCTTTCTATTGGTAATTATTCGAAATCTATTAAGCCGCTTAAGAATTATTTTTACGAGCATTTAGGGTTTGATCGTTTGTAAGAAAAATTATTTTCAGTAAATAAAAGATTGCTAGTAGGATCTTTTATCCCTAATATTGTATGAAATTTCGAATTTAATTTCCTTACCAGCGATGTGTTCTTTTTTCTAGTCACCATTAACAGTTTAAGGAGTCACTAACATTGGTTGGGGAACAGTGAAGCTGCATGATTATGGTGAGGAGTATGTTTTAACATTCCCAAATGGTTATGGACGTTCAATTATGAGCACTCCATGGATTGAACTCGGCGGGAAAGTAAGTCTTTTGGTATAAGTGAATTTGTTCGTTAAATTGAACCTGATTGTAGATTTGATTGCTCAACTTATTCTAATAGTTGTGGTATCATTTCAGGTCACAGTTAACTGTGTCAAAACGGGATATTCGGCTGAAATTGATTTTCTAACAAAGCCTTTTTTCGGTGGAAAAGCACATCGTATAAATGGAAATATTTATCGTTCGGGCTTTAAAAAACCCCTTCTTATAATAAAGGGTGAATGGAATGGTGTGATAACTGCGAAACCTCTGAATGGTAGCGAATATTTATTTGTTGATGTTAAGCAATATCCTGAAGCGAAAAAGGTTTAATTTTTTATTATTTTTGGATTGAACAAGATATCAAAATGTTCAGCAATATTTTCATGTATTTTGAATCAATACACCAAAATTTGCTGTTTTTTTTTCGAAAAAAGTTTTGTTCTAAAAAGCGAAATGGATAGTAGTATAACTTTTGTTCAACGACTGTTTTCAAAATGTCTAAATCTTCAAATACTTTAATGTCTTTTAAATTCTGGGAATGCGAACCTGTAGCAAAACAAGGTGATAGGGAATCACGCCGTTTATGGAGACATGTTACAGTTGCTTTGCAAAAAAATAATATACAACTTGCTACTAATGCAAAGAGATGGATTGAGCAAAGGCAGCGTGAGGAAGCTAAGAAGCGACAGGTATTCAAAAATTTATATAATTTAGCATTTTTTTTTTCTTTTCCTGTGTAAATTACATGACTCTTTTTAAAATTTTGAATGAGGAAAATCTTTTTAAAATTATTGTTGCATTTTAGGATCAGCGAATTGTTTATCATCCTATTTTGTTTGTTAAAGAAGGCGAAGGCTGGAAGTACAAAGATGAATTACGATAACATTTGTGGAATTGGGAAAATTGATGGACTGGAAAGCTTTGGATAACAAAAAAACCAAAAAATAAATTACATTTCTCATTTGTGACAAAATACAGTTTTTCTTAAAAATTTTTGCAAAACACACCAAAATTTGTGTGTTCTCTTCTGTCGGGTTAAATGCTTGGAAGTCTTTTAGTCTTTCTTGAAAGTCTTTTCTTTTCTAATGAATTTACAGTTTTCAGTATCCCCATTTCGTCATAACACGTTGAAAATATAATTTGTTTTAATGATTTCTTAAATTATAAGTCTCCTTCACTACTTCAACTTTGAGAAGTATTTTTCTGTGCACTTACTCCAAAGCTTCTTGTAGAGTACCTCTTTATTTGACCATTTTGATATTATTGCTTGTGATTTATTGCTTTATCGTTTCTATTTTTATGTTAAGTGTTAAAAGCATTGTTTATAATTTATTTGTATTTTCCAGTACTGAAACTAAAATTATTGATTTTAATAATTGCAGCTGCTGACGTATGAAAATTTCTTTATTTATTGCTTGTTCGTTTGATTTTCTGCCACTTGTTATCTTTATCCATAGATATGGTTTGTTTCGTTTTGCTTTTTTTTTCCGTTGTTTATGCGAAGTCTTATTTTTTAGGATGAATTTCGATTTTTTGATAAACGATTGTTTATCTTTTTCATTGGTGATTTGATATTTGGAGAATATGTGGTTATTTGTGTTGCCAAAAAAAGAATCTGCTAAATATTGTAAAAATAAAGTATTTCCTTAGATAGTATCTAGCTTAAATTTCATTATAGTTTTTAATGTTCCAAGCAATGATACATTTATTTGCAAGACTTGGGAGGTGATTTATCATAAAATAATTGATTTCGGAGATGTTCATATCTTTTCCGTAATGGTTGATCAAGATAATACTGTCGCATATTATCTGACGAAAATTGCTATCTTCTAGAAGAAACGGTTGACATGATGTGTTTAATGTTGCTTTTCATAGAGAAGTTCTGAATTTTTTCTACTCGGTTATTTCTATGTGTTTAAGGTTGATTAGCATGTGTTCTCATAAGGCTGAATTAACTGTCGCGAAGCACTTGATTGGCTTCATCAGTATTATAATGAATGGATGTATCTTCATTTGGATAGGCAGCAAAAATCGCTTAGATACCTTATGTTTTGCACAGAATTTCCGAGGAATGAATCTTATCGAATCACCAAAGCCAAATTATTTAATAGATAGTTTTGCAACTAAACTTAATAAACTATTCCCCAGCAAGCAGGTATGTCTCGTTAGTGATATGCCAAAGATAATTCTCATTTAAATTTCTGGGTTCAATGTAAATTTCTTGCATAAATCTATTTATCATTTGTGAGAGATTTCATTGTAATCGGTTATAAAAAAGTAATGGTAGCTTATGTTAGTGAAGCCGAAGAGATGTAATTAGTTGTGTATAGAAATGCTACTATGGTCAAATAGTGGGTAGTTTTGAACAGGTCAACGAAGCGAAAGAATAAATATATGCGATTCACATTTATACAAGTGGGCAACAACCAGTCGTAAAACGACACGCTAAAATTCAGGCAAGGATCAAAGTGCAACGCTGATCGTGAGGTCGTATAATTGCAGCAATACGTTCAATCAACAAAAGAAGGATCAGAAGAAGCTGCGCTGGAAATGGAATTTACCATCAAAAAAGGAGGACATCTAAAAGATGGATCGATAGAGTGAGGATACATTCGATACATTCGACCTGAATTATGCGGTATAGTTCTGCAATTGTGCAAGTTTAGCAATATGAGTGTCAACTCGTCAGGAGCGACAGTTTGAACTGAGAATCGATGGTGACGTGGAAGCAAAAGCGATAGTTATAAAGAATGAAAGGAGAACGATGGTTACAAAGAACTTTGTGAACATGCACAGGAATTGCAATCTCGTATAGGATGCAAGTAACAAGAAGAAACTATTTTTTCGAAGATCTTTCCATGGCTTAGATTAGAAAATTGTTGTTGTGAATTTGTCATAAAAATTCATATTTCTGTTCGACGTACAGAAGTGATATCAGAGGCAGAAGAGAGTATTTTTTTTTTATATTTTGATAGTTCTGGAATCATGAGGATAATATAAGTTCCTTTAAATTTTTCAAATTTTGAAAAAATGCAATTGTTAAAGATGGCAGATTTTGCAGATTTTTAATTATTATGAAAGAAAGTAGTTTATTTTTTGTTTTAGGTTTTCTTCTCAAGTGATCTCTGTATTGACGATGCTTCATTTTGGACTGAACTGTTGCAAGCTATCACAGATTATGTTTCGAAAAATGAAAAAATTTTCGGTACCATTCAGTGTTGTAGTTGAACTGCGGAATTTTTCTGTTCATTTTTTGTTACATTACGGCAACAATATTGTAAAAGATTTGTTTTTGTAATTCATCATTCATTTCTTTCAGTCTTTCAGTAACATTTGTTATTTAATCTGCATCAGTTATTTTCAGATTCAGCTGAAGGAAAATAGTTGAAGTTTTCTTTTTACGAATGATACTGAAAGAAGAAATATATTTTTATAGTTTCTTTACCTTTGTCTATATGCCCTGTACTCCGTATCCATTATTTCTTTAAAGTATTAAAATTTTTAAATTATGTCCATATTGCTCAGAATACCTCGTGCTTGATCTTGTCTGTCAAAATTATGCATGAATCTTTTTTGCCACAGTAGCAGGAACGTCTTTATTTCTTTCAAATTGTCACTGAGGGAATTATTTTCATTTCCATCTGTATATCATATGTGGCCATATCCACAATATTTTCACGGAAACATCATTTCTTTGCGTTGCGTGTAACTCGTATTCTGGTAAACGTATATGCAAATATGATTGTGCACAGTCTATAGCCACATAAGCATCTGCGCGTGCTATAGTTTGCATGTATGAGTGCACTTCTAATGCAGTCTATTTCATTGTACTGTCTGGCAAAATAATTTTTCAGATGTTGCGAGTAGTTCGTGGTCGGGGCATTATGCAAATATTTTGCAATCAGCAACGTTTTTGTAGATTTGAAGGAGGTACTATAAATGAAAAGGAGATTGAGATTCAGAAGAAAACACCACGAGGCAAGATGGATCATGAGCTGGGATCGGGAAAGGAGGATAAGCCTTATGAAGACCCATATCTCCCAAAGCATCCCGGAGGTATCCATTCTAATTTCGCGAGGGAGAGAATTGACTAAGATTGGTTTCTTAGGAGGATTTGATGCATCATATGGGTGTTTGCTACTTTTTCTAAATTTTTAAGTATTTTGATGACCGCGGTGTAGTTGTTTACGTTCATTGCATCATTTCTAATTTTCATGTGAATCAATAGAAGTGCTCACTTTAGGCGTCAACCCGATAACCGGAGAAATTGGTGGGCCAGCGGGACCGGAACCGACCCGTTTTGGCGATTGGGAACGGAAAGGACGTTGTATTGACTTCTAAAACCCACTTTTTCCTACAAGTTTATTTTCCAAATCGATTTTTCCTATAAGTTCAAGTGATATTAAGAATCATTTGATTTCATTGATTTACAAAGGAATTGTCTTTGCTTTATCTTAAAATTAATTTAATTTAATAATTGTCATGAATGCCTAGAATAAATGCTTCAAAATCCGTTTGTGTTTTTGTGATTTGAATTTAAATTTTGGTTCCTGTGTGTGAGCCAACAACTACATGCTGCAGTGAAGGAGTTTATCATTTTATTAAGTTAATACTTTTTACAATAAACTCGACGATGAATTTTGAGTAAAGAATTCCTATAACGTTTAATAAATTAAGTGAGCAAATATGACAAGGCTCATTTTTTGATTCCTTAGCTCTGTGAGAAAGGACTAGTATTTTTACTTTAGATGAGTAATGTTGGAAACATATTTGGAATAAACTATCTGAAGGAGTTGATAGAAACAGGTTATGCTATTCTTGCTGAAATATTTCGTTTGGTTGATTGTGTTCCGGATGATTTCAAGAATCCGGCTCGTAGTCGCTTCAAGCCATTCATTATTGATTTTTCATATTTTGATGACCTTTCTATTATCGATCGCTATGTTGATTCACATGAGGTCGGTTACTTTTTGTTGTAGAGATCTTATTTTTACTCTTCCTTAGAAGTCTTATTTTGGTTTTTTATTAAAAAAATATTTTCAGCAAGGAACACAACTGGAAGACGAATATTTATTCATATTTGAAAGACATATTAAACGGTTCGGTGCTCTTTTCGATGCTATAGCTCATTTTTTTGCTGATTTAATTGAGTGAGTTCGTATATATTTCATCTTCATTTCTCGAATGATTTTTTAAGAACGTTAGTGACACTTCTGTTTGTAGCAGTTAAATGTCTGTGATTTTCCTTTTCGAGGTATGGGAAAACTTGTTTGATGATGGAGCAATCATCTGGGAAGTCAACACAGTTATTAGTTCATTGTTAACTTTAATTGTTAACTACGTCATTTGTGATTGCTTCTTACTCTTATTTTTTGTAGATACTCAGAAAATAATCGATCTAGTCATGACGCCTTTTCAGTGCGTCGAACAGCAGCTTTTCTAATATTATGTCAACATGAAGTTCGTCATCCGATTTCTCAATGTCGTTTTTCTTTGTTTTGAGCTAAAACTTTTTCGAGTTTTTTCTTTTTAAGCTTGAATTATATCTTCCTTTACTGAATTGCACTTATGATTTCAAAAAGTTTAACAATTCCACTTCAAAGTTATTTCAGTATCTAAATATAAATAATTTTCAGGCAGAAGCACTCTTTATCGCAGGCGTCATTTTGTTGGCGTTGGATGAGAAATTTGCTAATGAAGTGAAGCAAAGATTGTTTGTTGCACACTATAGAAGCAAGTACGTGAATGAGATCTTTGGTCAGAGTTACGGTAATGTAAATACTAGATTGATGAAGTAGTTCTATGTGGCATAAATTAAATTATATACTGATGAAGTAAAGACGATATGAGTTAAATGAATTTTATGTAGATTTCCATATTCTAAGAATATTTTAAGAAATCTAAAGATTTCAGCCCTTCGAGCAGTGAACGATTCGATCTTCTAGTTGATGTTTTGAAGGTAGCGTCCAGTCGAGAAGAGCTTTTTGGGTAAGCCATTAGAATCTTCGACTATTTCTTGTTATTCTTTTTTTCACTTCGTTATTTCTTTTACATGTGACATCAAATTAAGAAGCCGCTGTTGTGCAATTGTAGTATTATCGTATAATTGATAATTGTTGTACTGTTTTTATTTGAAACCTTCGTGAGCTGACATATATATATAAGTTTCCATCTCTTATTTTTCAGAAGATTGCCATTAAATAAAGCTTTTGTCTGCAATATACTTGTGGTATTATACACAGACGTTTTGTTTCCTGATGAGGTATACAAAATTATTTCCTTGACAATAGTACTATAAGATTTGGCTAAGACAAGGATTTTAGGAGTATTGGAAAAATTCGAGTTTCGCAAGTTATTATCACTGTTTAAAGGAGTGTCAATTAAATATAAAAATGAATGCTTGTCTCTCAGATATTACAGAAGTCTCGATTATATGTGATGCTTCTTTTATTGTATTTTCGGCAACTATTTGGTGAAAATTGATATGATTTGAGATCATATACTCCATTTGAAAATCCATTCATTTAGTAATGTGGTTTGAAGCTTTGAAAAAATTATTTGTTAGTTACAGTGATGAGGCTTACCATTTGATTACTATTAATACTATCTGATTCATTTATACGGATTTTAGTTTCCGTTCTCGTAGTCAATTCGTTTTGCTAATGTGATCAGTTTTTTTTTTTTTTCAGGACGAATTTATACCACATGAACTTTCTCGACGAGGCATTCGTGCTTCACGTTATCAAAGATCATTTCTTTCTGTCTGTCTTTTCTTTCTTCCTACAATATTACATTCAGACCATGTTGTTATGCGCCATATCGTAGATACATTTTACGCTGAAGAATGGGTATGTTTTCAGGAAACTAAATTTAAATTTTATATTTAACAAAGATATAATAATGATAAGTGATATCGTCTTATGGATAGAATGTGGGAATTTAAGTTATAAAAAATAACGTTTTTGATTTTTATTTCCGTAAGATTCAAAGAAAAAAGATGGTCTCACTTATTCCTCATTGTTGTTTTCCTTAAGATATGAACACATATCATGCGTAGCTACTTAGGACTTTTGTTTTGGACAAGTTTTCCTCATTTATGACTTCACATTCCATCTCCTACTCCTACTGTCATTGGTAGTGTTGTAATCTTAATGTTATTTGCAAGTTACATCGTTTTTTAGAATTGGAAAAGCTCATTCGGAAATATGAAATTAGTTAATTTTTAGGTGGTGCATTTGCATATGGGAATAGTGATAAATATGATGGACGCTTGGGATCATTATAGAGCAGCAAATAGTGCACTGCAGCATGCAATTAGTGCACAAATAGTAAAACATTTAACTGCTAGCCATATATCTGCTTTGAAAGCGGCGTCTTTCCCACACACTGCCAAGTTATCAGTAGCCGATGTTATTTTATTTGCTGATCTAATAGCTACTTCAAATAAACACCTCCAATGGGCTATGTTGCATGCCTGTAAGTCTTATTGCTACCATTTTATCGATGCGTATTTAAATCTTATTTTGTATTTTAATCATTCTCATAAAACCCATGTGTATAGGAGTGTTTCATACACACCAAGTTTTCTTTTATTCATCCAGATAAGCCCGAAAAGTGCTGCAAACGTTCCGGACAGCTTTATGATATTGTCAATGGTCAAATTTCGTCGTGTTCGCTTGATCTGTTTAGTAAACTGCTCGAAGTTTCAGCCTTTGAATATGGCTATAAAGAAGTAAGAAATTTTCTGTATTTTTGGCAAGCCGTGAACATTTTGACAAATTTATTTCAACATCTTTCCGAATTGATTATGTTCTTTGTAAAGCAATTTTAAGCCATTGTTTTCTATATACTGGGATTCATTGCAAATATTTGTAAGGTGTTAGTTTTGAAAGGAAATATTCGAATCTTTCGTACTTGATCTGATCTTTAGATTTTTGTTTTATATAAAGTAATTTTATTAGAGCTTCTCTTCGGATTTTTAGGTCGCTCGATCGCTTTTAAACAATAAAGAAAAAAATGTCCGAAAGCTTAAAGACGAAGTCTGTGATCACGTCACACAAGTAGCTGAACTGTTTGCAAACGAATTACCTTTGCAAAGGATCAAGAAAAATGGTATTATTATATTTTGACCTATTACGCTTCGCCTTTACCTTCTAATTAATTAGTTCAATATATAGATTGATCTTTTAATTCAACACTGTTTCTGTGAAGGCTTGAGTTACAAGAAA